TTTGGATCGAATGACCAATCCTATAAAAGTTAGGGTCGTTTGAATCTTTCCGATTCTCGGAGTGGAGATCCCACTCTTAGTTTCATCATTTCGGATTCTGAGGGTGGAGATCCCACCTTGAGTTTCCTTTCCAACTGGAGATAGAATATAAAATTCTTCCTCTTCAGTGCCGGGAGATAGAATATAAAATTCTTCCTCTTCCATTTTCCAGTCTGTCTTTACCCTGAGAAAAGACACAATTCCCAACTTCCAATCCGTGCACTTTGTGCATGGGGAATTTTATCTCAACTCCTAAATAGAGATAAGCCTACGCCTAACACGCGTTGCCGGTTTAGTCGCCACCGATTGAAAAAGACACCAGAATCCAGTCTGGGCATTTTATCCCGAAGCCTAAGTAGGGATAAGTCAACGCTTAACCCGCGTTGCTGGGTGGTTCGTTCCCGTAAAAATGACCGAGTCTACGTATTCAGCATCGTAGCAACAAAAATCCATGCCTTTTATGCATGGGGAATTTTATCTCGAATCCTAAGCAGGGATAAGTCAACGCCTAACACGCGTTGCCGGTTAGTCTTTTGCCGTGAAAAGGACAAAAGTCCACATATTCGACGTTGTGGCAGGTCGTTATTCATAACGCCAAAATCCGTGCCTCACACGCGCGGGGAATTTTATCCCGAACCCTGAGTAGGGATAAGTCAACGCCTAACACGCGTTGTCGGTTTAGTCTTTCACCGATTGAAGAAGACACCAGAATTCTAATCTGGGGACTTTTATCCCGAAGCCTAAGTAGGGATAGGTCAGCGTCTAACACACGTTGCCGGGTAGACTATTCCCGTAACAATGGCGAAGTCTACGTATTCAATATCGTAGCATCAAGTCTAAGGGAGTTCATTCCTTTAGCACAACGTCACATGCGGAACGGACTTAAACAATCCGCATGCAAGCCCGATTCAAACGGTAATCGGTAAAGGCACGCCAAATCCGTTGAAGGCTGAGGGTTTGCCAAAAACCTTAAAGTCTACGTCTGATACACGTCGCTGTTTAGTCTTTTCACAGGAGAAAGACGAAGTCTACGTATTCAATATCGTAGCACTAAAAGAGTTAACTCTTTTAGCATAACGTTACATGCGGAACGGACTTAAACAATCCGCATGCTAGCCCGACTCAAACGGTAGTCGGTAAAGGCTTATCAAACCCGTTGATGGCTGAGAATTTGCCAAAAATTCTATAAATGCGAGTCATTGACGTATCAGCTTCATTAGTTGGTCTCATGACTTGAACATCCAACAAACTTTAGGATAAGATCCACATGTGCGGATGAATTAGCTTTAATAGTTGGTCCTGCAGCCCAACATTCGGGACCGTCATACTCCAATGCCTTAAGAGTTTAAACTGTGTAGACTCCAGCAAATGTACGAATATAAACTATGTTAACGCCGGTCAACGCGTTACAGTAAAGATCGATGCCGGTTAACGCATCAGCAATTTCGCCAAAATAAGGCAAAAGATGACTCCAAGGATTTTAGTTACAACCAGATATGAATTCCCGACGGAGAGGATCAGTTCAAAGTCAACTCAATGGCACGAGCTAAGTTCAGAAAGTTACACACCAATCTCAGTTCAAGATTTCGACAGCGGTCAGACGATAAACGCAGCGCCGGAAGAACTTTACCTATTCGATGAAACAATGAATAGATTGAAGACTGAAGAAGTTAAGAATTGAGATAGTTCAAGGTCACTCTACTAAATTGAGGAGATGGCATATCTTATCCAAAACATTCCAGACTCCTCTATAAAAGAATGAGTCTGAAATACTTTGGAGGGGGTATCTGTAGGCGTCTAAAAATACCTATGGGTGTCCGTACACGACTCGAGACAGAGAGAAGATGATAAACATCGCTATTAGAGTCGCAAGAGCTCGTTTGACAATGACAAACACATGAAGTGAGTCGACGGGTCATACGAAGCAACGGAACTTCGGAATAACGGAAACGAGAGCTGATCGGGAGCTCCACGTAATTTACAAAAGGCGGAGCACCCCTCGTGTCCTATTTATTCCACATATGATTTAATTATGGGAGCCTGTAGATCTCCTCGTCGGCTTTCCAACGCATCTTGAATCGCCTCATTCCGAGGTCGGATGAGTGAGTTAAGGCTGTTACAGTACCCGTGGGTCGGAATTCTGCTACAGTAGCGGGTCGGAAATCAGCTACAGTAGCAAGTCGGAATTTGCTACAGTGCCCGCGGGTCAGAATTTTGCTACAGTGGCGGGTCGGAATTCTGCTATTTGCTACAGTGATTTGACTGCACAAAGAAGTGAAGTTTTGACTATGCTGCGATTTGAATCTGAAAAATATCAAAACATAAAAGTTGTAGATCTCTTCGTTAGCTTTCCAACGCATCTTGAATCAGCCTAATCGGAGATCGTACGAAAGCGCATCTTGAATCAGCCTAATCGGAGGTCGTACGAAAGAGTTATGACCAAAATACCGTAGATATCTCAAACTGACCCGCGCTACAGTAACAGCCGGTCGGAATTTTCCGACCCGCGCTACAGTACCGCGGGTCGGAATTTTCCGACCCGCGCTACAGTAACCGCGGGTCGGATTTTTCCTGCGCGCGCTGTTTCGACCCCAGTTCGGTTTTTGACGGGTTTTCTCGGGATTTGGTCGTTCCTGAGCATCCAAACTGACTTGATATCATCCCCTAGAATGGTTAATCAGTTATTAACTGAAGATAGAGCCAAATCACTTGTTCTCATCCAAATAACCGCTTCCGAAGCCCTATAAATACAAGCTTAGGGCCTCCTTTCAGAAAGGGCGATTGATTATCAAGACGAGGAGGTGCTGCCGGATTGTGGAGTCAAAGGAGCACGAATTTCAGCGAAGGCAAAACAGATCTTGGCGAGTTCTTCGGCATAAAGAAGGAGAGTTCGAGAGATCCGACGCCCGTTCCCGTCCGTCCCTTGAGATTAGGCTTGGTCTTAATCTCGAGAAGAGCCCTGATTTCGCTTGGTCGATCTCAGCGCTTCAAATCAAATACTTCCTCGGTGAAGACGAAGCTCTGCCGAATTTTCCATCAACCGGATCCAGATCTAAGGCGGTCCACGGATAAACCCCGACACAGGCAAAGATCCCACGCAAGCAGAAGACCGATAAACGATCTCTGCGTTTGTTTTGACGAGAGTTGTAACTTTTGTTTTCATTGTGTAAAGATCTTATAAAAAGATTATCTTTTTGTTTTCATTGTAACGACCGAAGTTGTAATGAATACCGCAATGAATACATTAACTTTCGACGCAAACACTAGCAACCATGAGCTGACTGGTCTCTTAATTTAATTGGTCGCGTACAAGGAGCAACGATTGATGTTCGACCAAATTTACTAACAGAGAAAAGGAGGGTCTCAGTTTTACATGCATGTCATCTAAAATCATACGTATCTTTGGACGTTAGGGTTCAATTTTTTAACATAAATAGCACCATATTCGTGAATTTGGATCATCTCCACTACAAAAAAGTAGTAGAGAGACCATTACGTTTAATCTCAATCGTTGATTACTTAATAGGTTGTTATGATATAATCTAAATCTAACACTTACCATACCCCTGTGTATTGCACTCATGCCTAATTTGCACTAAAAGAAAAAATCACAACCACCAACTAGAATCAATGGTTGTGATTATGTAGTGGTACCTCCACTACTTTTTAGATAGTGGAGAGGATCCGAATCCCATATTTGTCTATGGTGCATTACATCGTAAATATCAATAATATAATGTACGATTTTGGCTGCATCCCGACTAATTAAATTATAATATTATTACGAGCAATAATGTTTGTTAAACAAAAAAGAGTGCATGAGAGGGATCCATCAAAAGTTTAGGGGACAATCCAACCTTTTTTTTTCTTTTTTACTACTGGGAATTGAAGCGAAGATCATGGGAGCCTAATCATCCTAGTTACTCATGGTGCTCGGGACAATCTAATCTTCGACCATCGTATTTCTTTCTAAAAACTATGAGTCACCTTTTCAATATGATCAAAATTCTTTTGATATAACATTGTATAACAAATACCAACAATGTAATGCACAATTATCATTATATCTTGCATTCGTCTAGTTTCCCTTGATATTCTATAATCGATGGATTGCTCCACTTCATCTTGAAATTAATGCTTTGTAACAATCATCAACAGTATGTATTTTATCTGCCATACCCTTCACTTTGATGTCATGCTTGGTGTCTTAATTTGGGATGGCCGATGGCGGCAGTGAGGAGCATGCATGCCTTTGATCCCGTCTCGGGGTATATGAGTTGTCTTGCATTAACTTAATTAACTTGGTCCATTATGGTCTTGGTGTTATAAGGTGATGCTGCCTTAATTTGATTCAGAATTTGAGGGCGGTGACCACATCCATGTCAGTTGATTGGATAGTCGACATGCAGATCTTGGCAGTTTTGGGATAGTCTTGGGAAATGGTTAATTAGTTGCATATGTACATGGTGATTTTCTTGGGTTTGTCTTCTGCGTTGAAGCTGGAGAGAGAGGAGAGGGGGAGGAGACGGCGAGGAGGAGGATAGGATTCATTGTTGGAGTCATGGTTGTGTACATGTTTGTAATTTGTGGAAGGGAAGAAAAGGAGGGTTTTTTTCTTTTTCTTTTTTCTCTTTCTTTCATTCTTTTTTTTTTGAGTGGGGTGGGGTGGGGTGGGGTGGGGTTAATTTATAGGAATTATGGGAGGCTGTTATAGATAGACCATAAAAAGTTACTGGAGAGTAGACTGAGCAATTAATGTTCACTCCTAAAAGCTAGGGTTGTCCAAGAAAATCATGCATTAGCTGTTGCTGTTATGGAGTTTGAACCAATGGTGAAGGACTACATTCTAAATTTATTCTTTCAGTTTGACCATTTATTATTTTCCCTCTTTAATTATAAGAGCATAACCAAGGAAAAAATCACTTTTTCCTTATGAAAAATAAGACATGTTAGTTACAATATTAAAAAAAAATCTTGATAAATATCTCTCAAGCTCTAATCTGTGAACCTCGTTCATACAAGTACAATCCTAATTTGTGAATCTTGTTCATACAAGTACAATCCTTCACTTTCTACAAAACACCATACATTGATAGGCTGATAGCTAATTTTGCTTTAACATTAATACATAAACACACTCATGCGCGCACACTACACATGCATGTTAATTATGACCCATCCCCGGAATTTATAAGCTGTGTTAAGTGAGAACTGCAGCTGTACACAGAGCAAAATGCTTGTACACAGCTCAAGAAGATGAGCAATCCTACAGCAAGAAATGTAAGGATGGGCCAAGAAGCATACACGTACTTCTTCATGAGCATCCTACACTTTACCCCCCATCTGCTCCCGTAGTACCTGTTCACATCCCCTATCGTCTTGTCCAAAAACGCTACCTTGCTCAGCCTAACAGACTTGCTCATCCCGTTCCACAACTCCGCTGCCTCCCCGTGGCTCTTCATCCTGTTCACGAGAACCCCGTTTTCTCTCAGAGTCTTCACGTCCTCCTCCGTGTCGATTACCCCATACATTAGCTCGGCGTAACGGGTAAAAACCATCGGCCCCGTTACGACGGAGGCCTCATAAGCCACCAAATTACGGAGTACGACCTCTGTGTTGTTGTCTAGGCTTATGATCGGGAGGTGCAATGTGACGGTCTTCGCGTCGAATCTTATCGTAGTGAGATCTTTGCTAGTTGGAACAAACTTGACCCCTGCTCTGACAAGCTCTGTGACGGAGGGGATGTCGATTTCCTCCACCAATGGTGGTTGTTCTTCACCGTCTGATTTTTTGTCATCGTTGGATTTGCGCTTAGGAATTAGTTGAGAGAAGAAATTTTCGACGGGAAGTTTGATCAATGAGAACATGGGCAGAGCTGTGATTATCTTCCACGGGCATTTAACAATGAACATAATGGGCCTAGAAAAGATCAATCGCTTGATATAACGGATTGGGGCACCATTTATACTAGATATGAGTTTCCACAACCAATTCATAGCCTTCTGAAGAATGGTAGGGTCTCCTTTTATTTCTTCCTTGCTTTCAACAGCACCATTTTGTTCGTTAACCTGATTGATTTCACTTGCGTGCTCCTTTACTTTAGGCACGACAGTCCAGTAAAGAAGCTCCAGCAAGTGAGCATGACGAGTAAAGTTATCCATCATTAGTATCAGAGAGTCATCGGAAATTTTAAAGGGCGAGACTTCTCTCACGAACTCTGTCAAAATGTTTGATAATTCTTCATCAGCGATGTCTTTTTTTGAGTAGACGAGTTTGAAGAGTTTCCGGAGGAGGAAGAGGGGGATTTGGTTTTCGAGCATTGTGATGTCTCTAATTATCATATTGAAGCCGACCTTTGCTCTCTCGTGCTCTATTCTTTTTGAAACAGTCATTGGTTGTGCTTCTCGTTGGGCTTTATCTTGATTTTTGAAGTAGATTGATTGGAGGAATTCAAGCAAGAACGATCCATCGATCGCCATCATCCATGCTAAGGTTTCTCCGTTGACGTCAAGATGTCTGTGGGAAAATATGAGAAGGATTGGTTAACATATTGGCATGCTATAATTTCCTCAACGTTTCATGTTCAATAAGTGATGCCATCAAAATTAGGAGTACTGTCAGTTCAATTCATGCACTGCTCATCTTAAAATGTCTATGTTTTGTAGTTTTTTCTTTATAGGTTTCTTTAGAATGGACCGCATAAAAAGATCGAAGTCTAAAAAGAGATAAGGATTGCTTCACTTGAACAAGATTAAGAAGTATAGTATTAAACTAGTTTAGTCCTAAATGAAGGGGCAAACTTTGATATGACTGATACGGGTGTATCTTCTCTTCGGGAGCTTAGCGATCCTCATGGGAGTTTGAGGATAGATGATTCTCATGGTATCTTGAGAATAGAGTAGAGGAGTCGTGGACGAGGCCATTGGAAGCAACGAAGTCGAAAGGATTCATCAAAACTGCAGAAATTACAGTTGATCTCTGTCCGGTCGACCGGCGTGGTCACGGCGGTCGACCGCATCGTGCACGGACCCCAACTGTGTCTCGGGACTGAGATCGGTCGACCGATGGTGGCACTGCGGTCGACCGGAGAACCCTGTAATCGATTTTCCAGATTTCGTCGTTCTGACCGGTCGACCGACTTGGGCACTGCGGTCGACCGCGTCGCGGATCCGGGCCTGGGTCTGTTTCCTGCTCCAGTTGGGATTTCTGTTTAGTATAAATAGAAACACGACTTTTCTAGGGTTTAGAACTCAGTTTGTAATCAGAAAAGAGATCAGGGAGGTTGTTCTTTGATCTAGAGAGATTGTGAGAGAGAGATTTGTAAAATCCAATTGATTCTCATAATCTAGAGAAGGTATTTTCCTTCGCCCTAATTCAACTCTTGTGTTCTTCTGTCGTTCTTCTTCTTTACCCACTCTTGATAATTCCGCGATCAAGAGTGCTCGCACGGCAACTCGTATCAAGTTGGTATCAGAGAACCTAGATCCTGTGAAGGGGGAACCTGTGTATGGTCCTTACTCGCTCACAGTACAAGAAGCTTGGCGAGATCCTTAATTCCTCGGAGGGGGTCCAGAAATTAAGGAAGGAGAAGATGTCTGAAGCAGATAATTCAACAAGACTTGATGCCATGGAGAAGCAGATTGAGACGATCGGGACGACTCTTACCCAACTCGTGGGCCTCATCAACGGAGGAGACAAAAAGGAGGAATCTTCTTCGAAGGGTAAGAAGAAACTCGTCGAATCCGACGAAGAGAGCGAGAAATCTGATTCAGAGGGGGAGACTGAGATTGTCAAGACTGCTGGACATCAAAGGGGTAAGAACAATTACCAAAATCTGAAGATTGACTTCAAGGTTGAGATTCCTGTTTATGATGGGAGTATCAACGTGGAGAAGCTTGATGATTGGATCGAACGTATGGAGATGTACTTCACTCTCTACGGATATTCGTCCAAGGAGAAGATAGTGTTCGCGACACTGAAGCTTTCCGGGCACGCGTTGACGTGGTGGAAATCCTATTGCAAACAGGAGAGGAAAGCGGCGTCGTGGAACAAGTTCAAGGAACTACTTCGTAAACAGTTCTATCCAGTAGGGTTCCTTGAGGAGCGTTGGTACAAGTGGTATGGCTTGCGCCAAAAGTTTAATCAGACCGTTCAGGAGTATACGACGGAGTTCCAACAGCAGGCGATGGTTCTAAACATCGCAACAGACGAGTATCCCATCTTCATGAAGTACATGGCGGGTCTGAATGATTACATCCGGAAGGAGATGAAGCTATTTTCAGTGGAGACAATCGCAGAGGCGAGCGTGAAGGCCATTGCCATTGAGGGCAGGCAGAAGAAGGGCAATGAGACAAAGGGGGATTCCAAACCATCGGGGAGCAAGACGGGTGGCTCTCAGTCTAAGGATGAGAAGAAGAAGGTTGACTCGGGGAAAGCAGGATTGACATGCAATCACTGCAAACAGACAGGGCACATGGCTCATCGTTGTTGGGATAAGTATCCTCATCTGAAGCCAAAAGGATTGAAGAAGAAGGAGGAGAAGAAGGCGTACGTGATAGCACAGGGTCCGAAGGAGGTTCCCGGGATGACCGAACCCAATAGCAGTCTCAACCTTATGGCGGGGAAGCAGGCTACCAAGGAAGATGACGACCCGAGGGAGCAGCTCTTTGTTCTGAAATTGCAGGTCAAGACCAGCTTAGTGGATGCTATTGTAGATCCAGGGAGTCAGAAAAATCTGATATCTGAGGCATTAGTACAGAAGCTGGGATTGAAGACGGTGAAGCATCCAAAGCCCTATCCATTAGGGTGGATTCAGAAGGAGGCGGGATTGAGTGTAGTGAACCAGTGTTCATTCAGATTTGCACTCCACGAGTCGTATATTGACGAGGTCACATGCGACGTGGTTCCGTTAGATGTTTGCCAAGTTATTTTGGGCAATCCTTATTTGTGGGATAGATACGCAGTATATGATCGGCGAGCCCAAAAGTATACGTTCACCAAGGATGGCGAGCAATTCGTTTTTCGTTCGGCGTCTCTTCCACAGGAGACGAGCTTGGTGACAGTGACTCAGGCTAAGAGGTTGGTGAATGCGGGCAGGAAGTTCGTTTTATTGTTCATTCGACCGTATGAAGAGAAGCTGAGTGGGATGTGCTTGTCCGCCTTGAGCAAGCTTCAGGAGGGAGATCTTGAAAGGTTAAAAGCAAAGTATGCGGACTTGTTTTCGGAGATCACGGGACTACCACCACGTCGAGGTGTAGAGCATGAGATTATGTTGACAGGGGAGAGTTCCTTACCTAACATAGGCCTATACCGCACATCAGTACTAGAGTCCGAGGAGATCAAGAAGCAAGTTCAGGAGCTCTTGGAGACAGGAGTGATTGTGCCAAGTTGTTCGCCTTGCGGGTCACCAGTGTTGTTGGTGCCCAAAAAGGATGGAGGTTGGCGCATGTGCGTAGATTATCGGGCACTCAACAAGATCACAATCAAGAATCGCTACCCATTACCGCGGATCGATGATCTTATGGACCAGTTGGAGGGAGCGAGGTTTTTCACGAAGCTGGATTTGAAGTCTGGTTACCATCAGGTGAGGATTCGGGAGGAAGACACTTGGAAGACTGCGTTCAAGACCAAGCAAGGCCTGTTCGAGTGGTTGGTGATGCCGTTTGGACTGTGCAATGCTCCGGCTACCTTTATGAGGCTTATGAATGATTTGTTGCGACCCTTTATAGAGGATTTTGTGATAGTTTACCTTAATGATATCTTGGTGTACAGCAGGACTTGGGAGGAGCATCTCGTTCATGTTGAGAAGGTATTTGAAGTGTTGCAGGACGGACAGCTGAAGCTCAACGGGAAAAAGTGCGAGTTCGGGAAGGACGAGTTGGTATATCTCGGCTTCATCGTAGGGAAGGGCCAGCGGAGGATAGATCCAGGCAAGGTGGAGGTGATCACAAAGTGGCCGACGCCGAAGACAGTGACTGAGGTGAGGAGCTTCATGGGAGCTTGCCAGTATTTGCGCAAGTTCATTCGACATTTTTCGACTTATGCGGCACCGTTACATGGCCTCACAAAGGCTAAAGTTCAGTTTGAGTGGGGAAAGACGCATGAGGAGGCTTTTCAGTTGCTAAAAAGGAAGATCTCGGAGGCACCAGTGTTGGCGTTGCCGAATTTGCAGCGGACTTTCGAGGTAGAGACCGACGCGTCTAATTATGCGATGGGCGCGGTGTTGACTCAGGATGGGAAACCGGTGGAATACCATTCTGAAAAGTTTTCGGGTGCTGTTGCGAACTACCCAACCTACGACAAGGAGTTCTATGCGCTATATCAAGCAATTAAGCATTGGAGGGTGTACTTGTTAGGGAAGGAGGTGGTCGTGCATTCGGATCATAAGCCGTTGGAGTTCTTACATGCCCAGACGAAGCTACAGCAGGCGCGGCACATGAAGTGGATGTCTTATTTGATGGCTTTCAACATCATTATTAGGTACAAGAAGGGGGCGACGAACAAGTTGGCCGATATGTTATCTCGCCCACCGATAAGGTCGTTGTTGGTGGCGACGCGTATTCAGCCCTTGGTTCCTTTTGAGTATGTTCAGTTGTATGCATCCAGTAGAGACTTCGGTAGTGTGTTTGAGCAGGCGAAGGCTGGTCGAAGGGGGGAGTATGCACTTGGAGATGATGGCTTATTGTATCGTGGGGCATCACTATGCATTCCGGAGGATGGTGATAGGTTGCAGTGGATTCGGGAAGCACATACCTCGCGAAGATGGTGATATTGATTCCTTGTAAGAAGACCGTGACGGGAGCGGGTGCAGCACAATTGTTCTTCGAACATGTGTGGAAGCACTTTGGGTTGCCGAGTTCGATTATTTCGGATCGGGATAGCCGTTTTCTCGGGCATTTTTGGGATTCTTTGTGGAGTTTGATGGACACCAAATTGAAGAAGAGCACGGCATTTCACCCACAAACAGACGGACAAACGGAGGTAGTCAACCGGACTATGGTGCACATGTTGCGGGGGTATAATTCTAGGCATCCTAAGACTTGGGATGAGAGTTTACCATATTTGCAGTTTGCTTTCAATCGGGCGATTCATGGATCTTCAGGGAAGTCACCGTTTGAGACTTGTTATGGATTTTTACCGCCGAGCCCGTTCGATCTTGTGTTTTCAAGTGAAGCCACAGTGGACGGCAAGGAGGGGAGTGAGAGACAACGTGCTCAGCGATTTCTTGAGAAGATTGCAAATATTCATGCCACGGTTGAAGCTCAATTGAAGAAATCGCAAGCTAAGTACAAGGCGAAGCATGATCAACATCGGGTTCCTTGTAACTTTGGTAAAGACGATATGGTATGGCTAAAATTGAGTAAGGAGAGGCTCAAAGGAGAAGGGAAGAAGTTGAAACCTATTCGTTATGATCCGTTTCGGATTATCGATCAGATTGGTGACAACGCTTTTCGTTTAGACTTACCACCTTACTTAGGCATGTATTCGGTGATCAATGCCGAGTACTTGAAGTTGTTTGAACCTCCGTTATTGGATGATGAAGGTGATGACAAGTTGATCTTACCGCATGTTGAAGACTTGTGGTTTGATAGAGAGGAGCCACTGAAAGAAGATTGCATTTTGGAACGGAAGACGACCACGACGAGGCGGGGGACGAAGGAGTCGTTTCTCATTGGACGTCAAGGTCAGGTACCTAGCAAGGCCAAGTGGTTCAACAGAGAAGGAGGGGCTCGCGAGTTCCCTCAGCTGAAGTTCTAACTTGAATGGGACTTCAAGTTCCTAAAGGGGGGACCCATGATACGGGTGTATCTTCTCTTCGGGAGCTTAGCGATCCTCATGGGAGCTTGAGGATAGATGATTCTCATGGTATCTTGAGAATAGAGTAGAGGAGTCGTGGACGAGGCCATTGGAAGCAACGAAGTCGAAGGATTCGTCAAAACTGCAGGAATTACAGTTGGGCTCTGGCCGGTCGACCGGCTTGGTCGCGGCGGTCGACCGCTTAGTGCACAGACCCAGACTATGTCTCGGGACTGAGAGCGGTCGACCGAAGGTGGCGCTGCGGTCGACCGGAAAACCCTGTAATCGATTTCCCAGATTTCGACGTTCTGACCGGTCGACCGCCTTGGGCACTGCGGTCGACCGCGTAGCGGTTCCGGGCCTGGGTTTGTTTCCTGCTCCAGTTGGGATTTCTGTTTAGTATAAATAGAAACACGACTTTTCTAGGGTTTAGAACTCAGTTTGTAATCAGAAAAGAGATCAGGGAGGTTGTTCTTTGATCTAGAGAGATTGTGAGAGAGAGATTTTGTAAATCTAATTGATTCTCATAATCTAGAGAAGGTATTTTCCTTCGCCCTAATTCAACTCTTGTGTTCTTCTGTCGTTCTTCTTCTTTACCCACTCTTAATAATTCCGCGATCAAGAGTGCTCGCACGGCAACTCGTATCAATGACACTCTTACATCTACAAGTAACAATGACAACTAGAATCTAAAGATAATCCAAATATACAAATGAGAAGTAAATAATAGACATAAACGAAAAAAAAACACTCTCACTTAATTAGCAAATCGCGCTAAATGTTGATGAATTATCTAGAACGACTCCACTGATTAGGATAAAAGGATATAGGCATGGCTTGTTATGAAAACTGGTAGCTTTTAAAGCTATATTTTCTCTACATATTATATATTACATCTACCGTATAATAATTGTACTGTAAGTCTTCTTGTTCAAGCTCTTTAATGGGTTGCATTACCTCAAGTGCGCCACAGCGAAGAGGGGACTACTACAACACTTATTTAGGGTCCCTTTGGTATTGCTTTTCTAGGATGTTTCTGTTTTTCTAATTTAAGAAGCAGTTAATAATGATATTTATATTTAAAAAATTGTATGATCATTAAAATTGCTTTTGATTTTAAGAGGGTAAAGACCAGTTTAGTATTACTAGAGCTTATAATAAGTTGCTTATACAAGTAGCTTATATGAGCAATTTACATAAACTATTAAAAATAATCATTTGATAATCATATATTAAAATGTGTGTTCATAAATAGATAAGGAATTTGGCAAAACTGTGCTTAAATATAATTTTCATAAGATAAAAGCCATAAATGCAGTGGCGGATCTACAACATTTTTGGTGGTAGTTCAAAATATACACTAAATTTTTTTCTCAAATAATAGCAGGTGGGAAAAAAATGAAGGAAGGGTTATTAAAGAGAAAAACAATAATTTTTAAACAATGATTTGATTTATATATATAAGAAACAAAAATATTTATAGAAGGCCTTAAAGAGGTAGACAGAACAAAGGGATAAAATGAAAGGAAAAGAAGAAGAAGAAGAAGAATAGAGGGGAGGTAAAAGGAAAGAAGCCTAAAAGAGAAATTTTCGAAGGATGGACGGTTTGAACTCCAGACCTCTTACAAAATGTTACCAACTGCAATACCACTAGGCTATAGAGAACTTTTGTATGAGGTGATTCAAGTGAACCACTTTGAACAAGGGTGGGTCTGCCACTGCATAAATGGTACGTAAACTATTAAAAAGTAGAAGTTGTTTTAAAAAGCGCATCTTGAAGCATACTTATTGAAATTACTTCTACCTTTATACACACCTCTCTATAGGAGATTAGTTCATTATTCCTGAAAAGTTCTATATTTGCGCTTAGATCTCTTGAGCTCCAATAGGAGTTATCTCTGTTATCTATGTTTGTACCTTGCATGCAAAATGTATATTCAGCTAGTTATAACAGAACATGGGTCTCTCTGCAACATATTGTAAAATATTAGAAAAAACTATTAATTACGAAGAGTCCCTGTATTCTATTACCCAACTTGGATGGACATCTCTAGTTCCACTCTTGCAAATAAACTCCCTCGATGATTTTTTTTCCTTCTAAAATAGACCTCATGAGGATAAAATGACCAAAAATATGTCCTACTAGAACGACAAAGGCTCTATCGATCCGTAATTAATCCTATCAGAGAATTATTCAAACTTTTTTTTTGGGTTAATTATCAGAGAATTCAAACTGACGGTACGTACTTGTGATAGTGGCAACGTATCTTATACTCCTCCTTCACGAACTTCTTAACAACACCATCAAACTCAACTACTCCATTAAGCCTCCCCTGAATTCTCCTCGCCGCCGCGATCTTATACCTCTCCATATCATACAACTGCGGCCTCCAATGATGGTACGGACCAAGAGCAAACAACTGAGGCACGTACGCCTCAGGTTTACATAAAACCAAAGCTTGAGGCACACAGAAAATGGACACTCTAGTCTTTACATCTTCGTCGGCGATATCCTCTTTGATCGATCTTTGAACTTCGATTACCCATTCTTGTTCGTTGAAGAGAGGGGTTTTTTTTGTTGAAGAGATGGTAGATAAAGCTTTAATGGTTGAAGCCATGTTTCCCCCCTTTGTTTCTGTTGCACTGAGGAAGAAGCTGTGAAGGGGCTTTAATTTAAAGTGAGTGAGGGAATGATCGAGTTATTGCTTGTGGCTGAATGAGTTCGGAAGATTTTGTAGATCATATGCACGAGAAACATGGTTGCTTTTCTTTTTGGCAACGTGACTAATCATCTACCCAATATTTATTTATTTTGTAGGGTTAATAATAACGTGAAAAACCATCAGAAAGAGTAGAAAAGAGAGAGAATCTCAGAGAGATTAATCCCTTATTTGAGTGCTTGTATTCCTTCTTCAATTAATCAAAGAGATTGTGTGGTGTGGCTCCCGTGGACGTAGGCACGTTGCCAAACCTCGTTAAATTTATGTGTTCCCTCTTGTTCTTATTTCTGCAAGTTTTTATCTTTGATTTGTGGTGAATTTCTTTCTTGCTCAACTTTCTAACAAAGTCCGGAAGGGCAAGGGTTTGATTTGATTGTTTCAAATCCCCAACAGTCTCGAGTGCACCCTCTGACCATACCATCTCCCTCTCCCGCCTCCCCCTTCGCCACCACCAAAATTGAGTGCATGCTCCGACCCTCTTGTCTCCTTCTTCTGTTCTTCCCTCTGCGACCACCAACCTCGAGCATTGCCTCTAATGTCTATGAGAAGATATCCTTCTCCAAGATCACTGCCAAGAAGATGATGCTCTTTTTTCAACTCAAGAATCTACTGTGAGAGATGTTATCTAGAGATTGCTCCCAACTCGTCTCTACAGCTTTCACTTTAAAGTCCAGGATGTCTATAATGGAACAAGATGCTTTTGAATTAGTAATTTTGATGGGGGGTAAGCCATAAGGGACCCAAGATCATGTATGGATCTTGAGTTGAGTATTGTCTTTGATATCCAGCAGATATTTGATGTATTACTTACAAGATTAAGATTTATATGTATTACTCTTTTTAGTAATTTATGTTTGGTATATTAGTTCCATAACTAGTTTTAGATAATGAACATTGTTACTTTAGTTTTATTTTCAAAAGGAGATTTTTGGCTTCCTTTGAGTTAACTACAGAATATCTTGAGTAATAAGATCATTCCACGAGATAGTTATGGTTTTAAAATGTGCAATTTTGTGTTAAGTCTAAGTATTTATCTGTGTAGTTTAAGTCATTTCCTGTGAAATTTAAGTCATTTCGTATTAAGTTTAAGTCATTTCATGTTAAGTCTAAGTCATTTTCTATGAAATTAAGAAATTGTTGTCAAGTCTAACTCATTTCGTGTTAAGTCTAGGTCATTTTTTGTGAAGTTGTAAGTCATTAAATATTAAGTCTAAGTCATTTCATGTTAAGTCTAAGTCATTTGTTGTGAAGTTTAAGCAATTATGTGTTAATTCTAAATCATAACGTGTTAAGTCTAAGCCATTTCATGTGAATTTTAAAGCATTTTCTATGAAGTTTAAGTCATTTTGTGTTAAGTTCAAGTCATTTACAATAGTAAATGTCTTAAACTTAACACAAAATAACTTAAACTTCACAATAAATGCTTTAAAATTCATAGGGAAGGACTTAGACTTTAACACGAAATAACTTCGGCTTAACACGCAATTGCTTAAACTTCACGGAAAATGACTTAAACTTAACATGCAAAAACTTAGGCTTAGCATAAAATTGCTTAAACTTCACAAAAAATAATTTAGACTTAACATGAAATGACTTAAACTTACTACGAAATGACTTAGACTTCACAGAAATGACTTAAACTTCACAGATAAGGACTTAAACTTAACATGAAATTTACACATTTTGCAACCAAAACTAACTCGTGGCGTGATCTTATTACTAAAGGTATTCTTCAATTAACTCAAAGGGAGCCAAACATCTCCTTTTAAACATGAAACTAAAGCAACAATGTTCATTATTTAAAATTGGTTATGGAACTAATATACCAAACATAAATTACTAAAAAGAATAACACGTATAAAATCTTAATCTTGTAAGTAATACATCAAACATTTGCTGGGCATCAAAGACAATACTCAACTTAAGATCCATACATGACCTAGGGTCCCGTATGACCTACTTCCCTATCAAAATTACTAATTCAAAAGCATCAAGTTCCCTTACAGACATTAAGCTGCAGAGATAAGTTAGGAGCAATCTCTAGAGAATATCAAAAACACCCTCTTTTTGGTGGCGATTTCAGATAAGGATATCTTCTCATAGACATTGGAGGCAACGCTCGAGATTAGTGGTGGCAGAGGGGGAGGCGGAAGAAGGAGACAATAGGGCTGGAGTGTGCACCCAATGTTAGTGGTGGCGGAGGGGGAGGTAGGAGAGGGAGATGGTGTAGTCAGAGGGTGCACTCGAGGTTGGTGGTGGTAAAGAAGGAGGCGGGAGAAGGGGTGTCAGTGTCAGAGGCAAAAAGGAGGAACATGGAGAGAGAAGGAAGATTAGGGTTAGGAGATAGGAGGAGAGGAGAGAAGGGAGGAGAAGCCATGAAGATTAATATAATGAGAGAAGAAAGATGAGGAAATGAGGGCATTTTTATATTTTATGTTTTTTCTCTCTATATACTTAGTTGGTAGGGAATAAAGGCTCAACCATACTTTTTTTTTAGGTTTTGAGGGCTTTTACACATGGGAGAAAGGTTGAAGGGGCTACTCACATGAGCTGATAAAAATTAGGGTCTTGACACAATTTTCCCATATATATATAATTTATGCTTGGTAGTGAGGTGACACAATCCACTCCACTCATTCAAATGAGGGACCATATTCACATGGGTTAAGGAGTGCATGAGGATATACAACCATTTGAATGAGTGGAGGAGATTATGCCACCTCACTACTAAGCATAACTTTTTGTGCTTGGTACCAAGCATACCCATTTTTTCTCTCTCTCTCTCTCTCTCTCTCTCTCTCTCTAATCAAAAAGAAAAAAAATCAAAACAAGTAAAAAAATAGAGGAAATCAAGTAGAGAAGATAGGCATCTAGAATTGAATCCGCTAATTTTTTCCATTTAAGATTTATAAACTACTCTCTTTTTATCATATTTTATTTTAGATTTACTAACTATAGATTATCAAACTACTAAAGGAAAATATAATTTATTAAATTATCAAATAATTCTAGAAGTCAAAATTAGAACATATCAAACTGCTCAAGATAAGCATAAATTATAAAATACTTCTTTTGCCAATTAATTCTCTAGTTGATTATCTTAACTTGATCATTTTAAGTATAAGAGAGCAATCCACAAGTCATAAAGAAACCAAACTAGTTTCATACAATTCTCAAATTTCTACTAGAATTAGTTACTAATTTTGCAAGATAAAAATAAGAAATAAAATCAATTGCAGAGAGCATAAAAGAACAATAGATAGATAAAACTAACTACAAAATAAGAAAAAGGGCAAGAAAATAAAAATATATACTATGAGCATAAAAGTAAATCTACACTACAAAACAAGAATTAAAATAAAAATATAGACTAATTATAAGGTAAGGAAGAAACTCTACAAAGCATGGAAATAAATCTAAATAACAAAAGTAAAAGAGCATGACAGTAATTTATACTACAAAGCATGAAATAAATCTAATCTATCAACATAAAAATAAAAATAAGAAAATAAAATTCTAAACATGAAATTCTAAAATAATAAAATAAAAGGAGAAAATGAAACCTTACATTGCAAAAGGTTGGTCCCTTGAAGGCAAATCTTCATCTTCATCAATAAAGAAGACGGAAAAAATTTAAAAGGAGGAAAAAAATTGTTTATCGCAAATAAAAGTTTATAATTTTAAAAGATAATCTTAATTAAGAAGAACATCCTCTCTAAAATAGAGTTTTTATAAAAAATTTCACCCCCTCAAACCCCCACTATCTACCCATATTTATATAGTACATCAATTAATATTAGTCATTAGATTAAACTTAACCCCAACTAAAATAATTTCAGCTCTTAATCTGTAACTGTTTACTGGGTATCGATACAGATATCGATATCCATATCGATACAGATATCGATACAGGTATCGATACTGATATCGATACTAGTATCAATATAAGTATCGATATTTACATCTATGCTTCTTTATAGTTCTGAAGTTGGCTGAAATTCTTGGACTCTTTGGACTTCAATGAGGTACTTGGATTGATCTTGTGCTTCAATAAGAGCTTTAATAAAAGATAAAAAATTGAGAGAATTGAGTTCTTTTGGGCTATTATTCATTAAATCTTTATTAACCTATAAATTAAAATAAAAAAAACTTATTAGCAAATACTTTATTCAAAGTAAAATAGATAAGATGGTGTAAATTTGTAATAAAATGCAATGATCAAATCCTCAGTGTATTTAATTTGATCGTTCATGAATAGCTAGAGATTTGGGAGCTTACATTATTGTACAAAAGATTAGACGCCTTTAATATTGTCCCATGTTCAATGGTTTCCTGTAACATTTATTTGATGAATAATCTTCATGCATTGTTAATTTTTATTGGGAAAGTTTTAGTGAACTAACAAAATATCATTGAATTTATTTGTTTAATAAGATGATATCTTCAAATTTGTTGATTGAGATAAGATATAAGAGGAAGAATTTTTATTTTTATCTTATTTATACTATTTTGTATTATTTGTTATGAGTTTTTCCAGTTTTATTATGTAGCAAAATATTTTTTATTTATTTTTTTTATAAAGATTTCTAATATAACCGAATCTAAGACTTTTGGTTTATTTGGTAATCCAAAATATTTGGATTTATTTGATTTGTAAATTGATATCTTCAAACATGTCTAAAAGATATCAAATTCTTTAGGAGATAAAATTTTACATCTATTTGGTAACAAATAATTTGACTCTAATTTATTACTATATTAAAATTTTACTATTTTTTTTCATTTTTATGTGATTTTTATTTTCTGGATTTTTGTTTTTAAGGAAATAAGCATCGGTAATAATATATTGTTGATTTCTTTTTGAAATATTAGGATATATTGAGCAATGATCACTTATCAAAGAAGAACTGTTATTAATTTAGTAGAAAATTTGAAAATATAATGGTATAATGTTAATATATATAATAAATATATTTCTTATATAAAATAATCTAATATATATATATATATATACAAAGAAACTTTCTAATTATTTGG